CAACACTGGGACAGCAAACCGTCTAATATATACACCTAACACACACTCCCAAAGAAGAGACAGATAAAACATATGTGAAGGTATCTTGGCTGCAATGTTTTAAAATTTAATGAAACTCACAAATTGAATAAGTTCAATAGGACTGTCTTGCTGATCCTGCTCACTATACCAAGTGTCTCACTGTTCGTTGATCCCAAGGTAGTCAAGGCACAAGCAGGAAAGCTGGAAGAAAACTCAAGGAGTTGTAGGAAATGCAGACACATCTATTCTCTCCTGACTGGCACAGCAGTGGTAGCAGCAGACACACTGCATTCTCACCTCTCATGACTGACCCAGCGGACACAGGCATAATACAGGCATCACGCAGCCCCTTCACAGCACAGACAACACACACACACACACACACACACACGACTTTCCAGCACAGCCAACAAACACACATATACAGGCATAACATAGCCCCTTCACACCAAGGGCTTCCCTTGTGGCTCAGCTGGTAAAGAATCTGCCTGCAAAGTGGGAGACCTGGGTCTGATCCCTGGGTTGCAAAGATCCCCTGGAGAAGGGAAAGGCTACCCACTCCAGTATTCTGGCAAACAGTCAGACATGACTGAGCAAGTTTCACTTCACAGCACAGCTAACACACACATGCATACACATGCGCACACACACACACACACACACACACACACACACAGACTTTCCAGGTGGAGCTTATATATGCTTACAGAAGAATCTGCCTGCAAAGTGGGAGACCTGGGTCTGATCCCTGGGTTGCAAAGATCCCCTGGAGAAGGGAAAGGCTACCCACTCCAGTATTCTGGCAAACAGTCAGACATGACTGAGCAAGTTTCACTTCACAGCACAGCTAACACACACATGCATACACATGCGCACACACACACACACACACACACACACACACACACAGACTTTCCAGGTGGAGCTTATATATGCTTACAGAAGAAAGGTTGCTCACACACACACGGACTTCCCAGGGGGAGCTTATATATGCTTACAGAAGGTTGCCTGTGACCAAGCGGGAACATTGTGATGCACACGCTCAGTGCTGCAAGTGATCTTAGCTGTTACAGAATCATTATTTACAAAACGTGGAGCAAGAGCGAGAGGATGTGGGGCGGGAGAGTCTGACCATGCCATCCTGGCTAATTTGCTCTTTTCCTACAAGAACAAACAAGGGAAACTACTACAGCAAATTGCTGAAAACCAGTGACTTTTTATATAAATTCTAAAAGCAGCCAGAAAAAAATGCACAGTTAAACAAATATAGGCATAACCGCCAATTTCTCATCAGTAACAGTGCAAACTGGAAGATAATAAAACAATATTCAACACGCTGGAAGAATGCCCATTGACCTAGAATTTGATACTTGGTGAAAATCTTTCAAAAAGGTGAAAGCAGATTAAATGCAGTCTCATTCAAGCAGTGGTTGACAGAATTCACCACCAGCGGATCTGCCGAACAAGAAACTCCTAAGAAGTTACTGAGGCTGAAGGAGTAAACAGCAGCAAGAAGCCAGGCTATGTGCAAAAGAGCAAAGAGGGCAGAAGTAAATTTTACTTAAAAGATAATAGACTGTTCAGAGCAAAAACGATGGTGCAGCTGATGGCGTGCTTAGAAGCAAGTGAGGACTGAGGTGGCTTCTCCCCTAAAGCGGGCGCCTGCAGCAGGGAGCCCGGGTCCATGGCCTTCACCCTGAGCCGCCCATGGTATCATCCTCAGGGGCGGTGGTGAGTAGTTCCTGGGGCCAAAAAATACGGTAAAAACTTAGGATCACACCAAGAGTCCTCTCGCCTTGGGGCTGACCGTGAATGAAGTATAGAGAGGCCCCTGGGGAAAAGGGGGCTCCCTGCAGCCCTGGGTGGGGGCAGCGTCTCCTCCCCCCTGGGTGAGCCCATCCCCTTGGTGGGGGCAGCGTCTCCTCCCCCCCGGGTGAGCCCATCCCCTTGGTGGGGGCAGCGTCTCCTCCCCCACGGGTGAGCCCATCCCCTGGGTGGGGGCAGCGTCTCCTCCCCCCAACCCCCCGGGTGAGCCCATCCCCTGGGTGGGGGCAGCGTCCCCTCCCCCCCGGGTGAGCCCATCCCCTGGGTGGGGGCAGCGTCTCCTCCCCCCCCCGGGTGAGCCCATCCCCACGGGCACCGGCCCCTGTTGGTCCGCGGGGTGGGTACGCGCGCAGAGGTTCTGATTTCACACAGTGCACGGAGCCGAAATTTGAGGGGCCCTGAGAATGAGTCTCTCTCTGGAGAACGGTTTGCATTCGAAGAACCCAACCAAATGCACAGGCTCACCAGGTTAGTTCTCCAAATCACCAGCTTCATTCTCCAAAGATCACCTATGAACCAGCATCAGGAGATGCTCAGATACGTGAGCGCTGGTATGAGTNCTCTGGAGAACGGTTTGCATTCGAAGAACCCAACCAAATGCACAGGCTCACCAGGTTAGTTCTCCAAATCACCAGCTTCATTCTCCAAAGATCACCTATGAACCAGCATCAGGAGATGCTCAGATACGTGAGCGCTGGTATGAGTAATTTTCCAACGGTGGGCATTTTTCTCAGGTGGGAAAGAGAACCCTGTGGGAGCCACATCCTCACCAGGAGGGCCGGGCATCAACATAGGGCGTGACCTGGAGTCTGGAACCTGGGTGGGCCCCAAGCTCCCACACGCCATAGCTGACGCACAAACAGCAGGACACCTAGCTATGCAGGACAGCTCTCCTCCCTGTGTGCCAATAACTAGCTGCACCTCGGATGAGACTGGGAGAGGGGTCTGAAGCTGCACCCAGAGCCCCTCCCCGAGGCCCGCCTGCATCCTGGCCTTTGGGGGCCGTGAGCCCCAGCCCCCTCTCCCACCCGTCCCCCCTTGGGCTTCCACAGCTGGCGCTGGTCTGTTCCCCACAGGTCACAGGCCTACAGTGCAGCGGGGGCAAAGCTGTGAGGTGGGGAGCAGCCTGGCCCTGCAGGGGCTCCCCCAAGTGTAGTAGGAGCGCAGGGCATGACGGCCAGGGCACAACTCACTGCTAAGGAAGATGGATTTTATACTCAGGGTAACAGGGGTCAGCAGAGGGTTTCCAGCAGGGGGGTGGCTGTGCTGAACAGAGAGCAGGCTGGAGGGGAAGACGGAGAACGGGGTCCAGCTACCTGCTATCCCAGTGGCTGGGGCCAGCAGGGCCACAAGCAGATGCTGCATGAGTATGTAAGAGGCAGGGAAAAGTCTCCGATGTCCTCAGGGTCCCTGGCCCGTATCCCAGGGGCATGGCCCAGAGCCACCGCTGCACTCCGCCCTATGCCTCGTTCCTGGGAGGCCTCCAGCCCTCCACTGCTCCTGATCCAGCAAATCGCTCTCCCGTCCACCCCCTTCTCTGAAGCCCTGAGCAATTCACTGGGGCTTTAACAGCATCTACCACTTCTATAAATGCTTAGCAATGTTTTTGATTGCCTGAGACAGAAGGAAAAGAGAGAGAGAAGTAGATGTGAATAGGAACGCAGGTGGTACGCTCTCCATCACAGGGAGCTGGCCACTGGGCATGGGCAGCTCCAGTGAACCAAGGGTCCTGATTCCACAGGCTCTCGGATGAAAACAGGAAGAACACGTCCCCTTCCAGAGGCCATCAGGGCATCTCTCAACAGGAAAACGTGAGCACCATCAAGCCACACAAGTTCCCTCCCTCCCTGGAGCCCCAGCTAGACTCTCCCTCCAGCAGGCGGTGGGTTCTAATGGGAGCTCTTGAGGATCAGTTTCAGCCCTTGATGACGGTGGCTCCCAGGACGCACTGGAGAATGATTTTTACAAATTTCTTCAATGTTCACATATTGATATAAAGAGATCACTCTGGCTTATACATCAATTCACTTGAACTTGATCCTCACTAAATAAAAATGACCTATTTGTGGTCTATCAAACATACATTGTACACCTACTTTAATTATTAGAGAGAAGGACACACTGACCAGAAGTAAAGAACGTCCATGTTAAAAGTAAAGATTAAAAGGCGCTCTTCCTGAGACCCGGATGCGGGACTTTCTGTGATAAAGACTCCCTTCCCAGAGGCAAGGCCAGGTTGACTCCGTCAGCGTGCTAGTCTGTTTTTGTTTGTTTCAACCTTAAATGTATCCCTGACTTGTTTAACGTTCTTTGCTTTGATAAGATACAAAACTGTGCTGAAAACCACGCTTTTCCGGAGCGGTTTCTCAGAGAAACCAGGGAAGTGAGCCTCTGGCCTGGTTCTTAGTTTGGCTCAAATCAAACCCCTTTCTAATGATTGTTGTTAGTTCTGACGGGGGGCCCCGCCTTTCTTCTAGAAAGGCTGCGTTCTTCTTCACAGACGGCCCACCTGGGGGTTCATATCTAAATACAGCGAAAATAAACACGAAACGGTCGCTGCCTTTCGCGCGCCTATTTTTTTCCGCCTCCACCTCTCACGTCGTCGACCCAACTCCAGACTCAGGCTGAGGGACCGCGCGCTCCCCTACGCCATTCGGCGTCAGCCCGGGTCCAGGGATCCCGCCGGCTCCTCGGAAAGACGCTGCGCGCGGCCCGGACCGCCGCCCCGCGGCTTCCCCACTCTGCGAGACTTCCCTCGACCCGCCGGAATCGCGGGGCACGGCGGGAGGACGGCGCGGCGGGTGACGTCACACCGCGCCCCCGACGCAGGCGCGTGCGCGAGGCCGGTGGGACTACGTTTCCCAGGGGGGCACGCGGCGCGCCCACTTCCGGGGGACGGTGAAAGGCCCGGAAGCGGCGCGGCGGCGAATCCTGCGGCGACAGGTCGGCGGCGGTGGCGGTGGCGGCGAGCATGCGGGGCAGCCGGCGAAGCAGGTGTCCCCCTGCGGCAGGCCTGTCCCTCACGGCCATCCTGTCACCGCCGAGTTCTGTCCCCTGAGGCACGGCAGGCACCTTCCGTGCGGCTGCCGCTCAGGCCTTGCTCTGTCAGCGCCCGGCGCTTTCTGCCAGGGCTCCCGCAGGCTTGATTTTCCTGACGGTCCTTCTTCCAGCTCAGTGTCTACACCACCACGCGGTCCAACCTGGGCGCCGAGAACAACGTGGATCTGGTCTTGAACGTGGAGGACTTTGACGTGGAGTCCAAATTTGAAAGGTACGTATGTGGGCAAGGTGACAGGCAAGCCCCATAGACATTGAGATTGTTGAAGAGTCAGTGTGCGTGTGTGAGTGTGAGAGAAGTGTCCCTCAGAGAAGTGGCGTTATCGACCCTCTTGTGCACGGTGGAGCATTTCAGCTGCAAACATCTGTGAAACGTAGGCAGCAAACTTCATTTCACTTGAAAGTAGCAGCTGACCAGTTTGTCACTTAGGAAGTAGCTCACCGGGCTTTCTAACAGTTGTGGGATGCGGCAGGGCCCTGGGGAGTTTCCGGAGCGGTGGGGATGGGTGCAGGCGGCGTGGAGAACAGAGCTTACACAGTGCCCACAGCAAAACTTGTGTTTTCCCAGCAAAACTTGTGTTTTCCCATCAGAAGTGGTTCAGTTCTGTCATCTAGAAGGGAAAAGAAAAGGATGGAGGGAAGAATTTAGCAGAAAATCAAAATTAAGTGAAGTGGAACTTTACAGAAAAGAGCAAGCAGTATAAATATTGAAGTACGTAGCGTAACTTTTTAAAGCTGCACGTAACTGATCGTTCTAGTTTTTTAAGTTTCAAGAAATGTTATTTTAAAAGCGATGTGCTCATCACGAGTCGTCCTCTTCCGTCTTGTTGTCTGGGAGGCATCAAGACGAGTACTGGGGTGTGTGATGCTGTGCAGAGCACGAGTTCTGTGGGAGAGTTGCTGTGGGGACTGGGCGGGTCACGTGTGCCTGGGGTTGGCCCGCAACCTCAGCGGCCGGTGTGCAGGCCTTTCTGCTTTGCGGCAGCTGCCCGTGCTTTCAGAGTACGTTGCATAAACGTACGTCTAGGACCTCAGTAACATCTAGGCAGGTGAGTTTCGCTCTTAGTACATCTCAGCCGACAGTGATTGGTTTGTGTTCAAAATGGCATTTTTTATAGACATACTTGCATAGTCTCCACCTCCATAGAACAAAACACTCATGAGGTTACCGTCATCATTTGTGTTGTATCAGGACAGTCAACGTCTCTGTTCCCAAAAAAACGAGGAACAATGGCACGCTGTACGCCTACATCTTTCTCCACCATGCCGGCATCCTGCCCTGGAACGACGGGAAGCAGGTGCACCTGGTGAGCCCGCTGACCACCTACATGGTCCCCAAGCCGGAAGAGGTCAACCTGCTCACTGGGGAACCGGCGGCACAGGTGAGCGGTGCCAGCGGAAGGAAGCCTGCTGGCCCCTTGGAGTCCACACAGGTCTGCACGTGAGTTAGTGATGTGCAGTCTGAGTATTCGGCGACCTTCTTCACCTGGATTCCTTCTCAGGTCACCAGGCCTCTGAGCCCTGGGAGCATGTTTGCAGGGCAGAGAGTCGGTGCAGGGTGGTCCCGCTCGGCTATGGTCAGACTTGGAGCTGGTGATGCTGTGCTGGGGCAGGATAAGGCAGCGCTGGGGTGTCGATTCTAAGGATGTGACCTAAATTAGGAGAAAGGCAGGAGTACAAAGTGTGTCTCGTACACCTAGAAAACCCCCCATGCAGGGAAGGCTGGTGGGCATGCCCTTGGCCCTGACTGCAGGGGAGGACGGAACAGGTAGCCTGCTGTTTGGGGCCGTGTGCCCTAGAAGGAGAGTCCTTCACGGCCAGCGGCAGCAGCTCACCAGGAGGTGTCCCCACCGTCTTCTCTGTGTCCTGGAAAGGCCCCTGGGTTCCCTTCCCGTGCAGACTGCACAGCGCTGCCCCAGGGCCTTCCCGGGAGCCCAGCGGCCTGTGGAGGGTGGAGGGCGGCTCTGGATCGGGCAGGTGCTGAGTCAGCATCAGGTGTTGCTGCTTCTGGGAAGACGGTTCTGGTGTTACTGCTGGAGCTGAACTGGAGCTGGAGCGTGGAGATAAATAGAGCGTCACTGTTCACAGGGCTGCTCAGATCCAACGTTAAGATCTCCCTGCCGGGAAGGGTTTGTTCTGAATTTAGTAGATTTAGGCTTGTTGCCCAGGTGCGGACACGCCCCCTCCAGAAGGCTGGGTGGAGCTGCTTTAGAAGCGTCAGGGTTCAGGCTCCTTGCAGGCTGTAGGGTTCTCCTCTCCAGACTGCCCGCGCCTCCCGCCCCTGTTCCAGGGCTCGGCCTTCCCGGGGCCTCCGCTCGGGCTGGGGGCCCAGGACAGGAGTCAGTGAGATCCAGGACCACATACTCTGGAATAGCAGGCCTTTGGCTTCTGCCGTGAGCAGGCGGTGGGGAGTGAGGGTCTGGGCGAGGGCCACCGGGGTCCCCCTTGGGCCTGTTTGGGGCTGCGCTCTCTGCTCAAAGGCTCTATGAGGGTTCCACACCCCCGCCCCAGACCCGCTGGGCCCCGCCCCTCCCAGCCTTTCCCTGCTGAGTCAGCGCTCATGGTCAGCAGCAGATCGAGGCCAAGAGGAAGCCAACGAGTGCCCTGGATGAGCCTGTTTCTCACTGGAGGCCCAGACTGACCCTCAACGTGATGGTGGACAACTTCGTCTTTGACGGGGCCTCCCTGCCCGCGGACGTGCACCGCTACATGAAGATGTAGGTGCCGCAGCTCGGGCCTCGCTGCTGAGGCCCAGGGCAGGGGGTCGCTGTAGTTCACGTGCCTGGCTTGAGCCTCGCTCATCACCCCTGAGCCGACAGCAGGGGTGGATCCGGTGGGTGGGGGAGCCCCTTCTCCCTGCCTCCTCGGGGGGTCTCACGGATCACAGCTGCCACCAGCTGCCACCGGGAGGGGAAGGGAACAGTGGGTGTTTGTCTCGGAGGGGGAGTGGGGAACCTGATTCGGCTGAGTCACCCTGCGCCCTGGAGGCTCTGCCCTGTTTGCATCCTGCGAGCTTGCACCCCACTCCCTCGGCTTAAACATTGATCGTTAGGTCGTCCTCTTACCACTACTTGCCATCGGAAGCATAACTGCTAAAACTGGCTTAGGTCACCCTGCATCTCTGTGCTGCAGGGAGCCCCCTGATGCCCAGCCCGGCCCCGGGTCAACACATAGCACCCGGAAATGCGGATGAGAATTGTTGCCTTCCACACTTTGCAGTGGTTCCTCTGGTGTGGTTACGACGTTTTGCCTTTTGTAAAGTCAGGATCTCGTTTTCTAACGCTGGGTGCATTCATAGTTGAGAGCGTGTGGGTCACTGGGTGAGAGGCCCCTGCCCCCACCGCCCTGCCCCAGGCATGCGGCTCTCATGTCTCACCACACCTTGGACGCCCCATGTGGGCACACGCACGGCCTCTCGTTCTTCTCTGCGTCGTGAGTGGCGTCCCACCGAGCGCCCAGTGCCCAACCTCACCGTGTCCTCCTGATGCCAGCTGTGAGGGGGGAAACGTAGCGCGCGGGCCCCTTCGCTCCCCGTGGGAATGCGAATCCTGGGCATGTCAGCGACCGGAAGCCGCTGGCGTCGCGGTTGGGGGAGCGGTCTGCGAGGTAGACCCAACATCTTGGGGCTTCAGTCCTCTTGGGTGCGGGAGCCCCCCGGTGACCTGGAGACGGCTCTGCCCCCAGGATCCAGCTGGGGAAGACGGTGCACTACCTGCCCATCCTGTTCATTGACCAGCTGAGCAACCGTGTCAAGGACCTCATGGTGAGTCGGCCTGACCCCTGACCCCAGCACAGCTCACACACTGCGGGTGGGCGGGCCCTACCCGTGATGAGCATGGAGCCTTGGACAGCTGCTCATCCCCCGAGTGGCTGTGGCCATGGCTCCATGGGGGCCCAGGTGTCTGGTGTGGAGGCCCGGCCTGTTCCTGAGGTATCTGGAGCAGAGCCTGCCTCCTCCAGGCTGGCCCCCAGTCACCTGCTGCCCCTGGGGTGGGTTGGGCTGACCACAGCAGTAACAGCTGACCCCTGAGATTGCTTACCGCTGCAGGCATCATGCTGGGCGCCTTGCAGCACACAAACAGGCATATCACAGTGTCCCCAACCCGCGGGGACTCATTTAGGGTCTGGGAGGTGGCCTCTCCCTGGAGGCCTCCTGCTTAGTGTCTGCTGGACAGAGCTCAGCTGTGTGGGACCCACTGACCCACATGTGCTTGCCTGGGGCTGCAGGGTTGGGTGTCACGGGACACCTCCCCTCTACACACAGTCACACATCAATTCCAAGTGTCCTCCAGGGCCCCATTGAGGGCCACCCCTCCCTGCAGCTCCCGCTGCCCCCGTGAGTGTGGCCACCCCACCGTGTTCCCCTCGGGGCAGCTCGGCGTCTGCTCCTCTGGATGGGCGCAGGCTCCCATGGTCTCTGCTTGACTCAGCTGCCCAAGTGGGTCCCCACGCCTGCCTAGGAGGCGCCGGCACCCAGGGCTGTGGTCACAAGAGACACGTAGGGTTCGGGTGATGGAAAGGAGCTTGAGGAGTGAGGGCTTCCTGGAGGAGACACCTGCAGGTCCTCAGACGACGGTGTGGTGCCGGGCCCACGGGGGCCCAGCTTGGCACAGGGCCGGACCTTCGCCGCTCCCCTCCGCAGGTCATCAACCGCTCCAGCACCGAGCTGCCGCTCACCGTGTCCTACGACAAGATCTCGCTGGGGCGGCTGCGCTTCTGGATCCACATGCAGGACGCTGTGTACTCGCTGCAGCAGTTTGGTGAGGGTGCCGGGCGTGCCCTGGGAGCGGGGAGTCGGGGGAGCCCAGAACTCGGTGCCTGTCCGCATGTGAGGCCGTCCCCCTTGGACCCCGTGGGGTCTGAGGAGCTCCTCTGCAGACGAGGTGACCCCTCGGGGCTCTGTAGCGTGGGTGCACGTCACCCCTCACTTGGGGCCTCGGTTCTCTCCAGGATTCTCAGAGAAGGATGCTGATGAAGTGAAGGGGATCTTTGTCGACACCAACTTATATTTCTTGGCGCTGACCTTCTTCGTGGCTGCGTTCCACGTGAGTGCTCCTAGTTTTCCAGTTTTCCTCCCCTCTCCCCACCCCCCCAGGAGAGGGGTCTGCACTCAGGCTGGACCAGCTGAAGGGCTTGGCTTCGTCTGGAGCCATTTTGAAAATAAATCAAAATCAATGAGATTAGCAAAGTACGCGTTTCCTCGTTTGAGGTTTGGCACGGCGATTCCAAGAGTTACAGTCTGGTCCTGCTGGGAGGGTCTCCGTTAGACACAGCAGCTGGCGGCTGCCAGGAAAGCCCGTGTGGGGCTGTGCTTGAGGCTAGAGGGCAGGGGTGAGGCCCGTGCGCCCGGCTGTAACAGCGGGTCCACAGGCCAGGGGAGCCAGAACTTGTCAGAGCTGCGCCAGGGCCGAGGTCTCCACAGCGTGGGGGCTCATCACTGTTCTGTCGTCTTTCAGCTGCTTTTTGATTTCCTGGCATTTAAAAACGACATCAGTTTCTGGAAGAAGAAAAAGAGCATGATCGGCATGTCCACCAAAGCAGGTAGCAGCTCAGGGCTTGCCCGTGTCCTCCGAGGTGCCCCCCGCTGGGCCATGGTGGGCGGGTGACGAGCTTGCCCACAGGGGTGTTCGCCCAGGACCACGCGGCTCTTGCTTGGGATGGGTTTTAGGTCCCCATGGGAGCAGCCTGGGAGGCTGAGGGCAGCCTTCTGGCGGTGGTGAGCACCTCGTTCGCCCGGGACAGGGGCTGCGGGGGCCGGTTCTCGAGCCCATCTGTGTGAACTCATGGTCCCGCGGGGCGCCAGGCTGGCTTCCCAGCAGGGGTGGTTCTTCAGCTCCTGTGGGAGTCACCCCCGAGGGAGGGGCCCGGGGTGCTTGAGTGGCCCCTGCGTCCAGGGTCCGAGTCTCGGGGTCCTCTGTCCTGACCTCTGACTTCCTCGGAGGGGAGGACCCCGCTGAGCCTCCCGGCCCCCCGCTGGCCTTTCCCCGTGGTGGTGTGAGCAGAGTTTGTGGGGCCTGGGACCCGAGTTGCTGGCGGGCACTGCCCTGCAGGGGGCATTCCCACAGCCCTGGTGGCTCCTGAGCCTCCGCTGGGAAGACGGGCGCGGGCACCGTGGGGTCCCGTCAGGAGCCGTGTTCCCCGCACGCTGTCCTTGGCATTGTGTCAGCGAGTGTGGATCACACACCTCCCGGCTCCTCACAGTCGTTCTGCGGTTTCCAAGGCTCCTTTTCAGTGGACAGAGGGGAGACGTGCTTGAAGGGCCGAATGCCTGTGCCTATGTGTACCTGTGTAGGTGTGGGCATGAGTGTGCACCGGTGTGGGTGTGCTTGTGGGCGCGGCCCGTGCTCAGCCCCGCCCGCCTGTCCCCAGTGCTGTCGGTGCGTGTGGGCGTGGTGGGCTGGCCCCGCCCCGCGCTCAGCCCCGCCCTCCCGTCCCCAGTGCTCTGGCGCTGCTTCAGCACCGTCGTCATCTTCCTGTTCCTGCTGGACGAGCAGACGAGCCTCCTGGTGCTGGTACCTGCGGGCATCGGAGCTGCCATCGAGGTGAGAGGCCCACCTGGGCGCCAGTCTGCGTGCTGCCTCGAAAGTCCTGGGGCCCAGGTGCTCAGTGCGGGTCGAGACCGGCATCTGCCTGGGAACTGCCCGGCCTGGCTAAGGGGAGGGCGCCGCTGCCTAGCTTCTCCAGTGGAGCTCCGCACAGCCCCATTTGACTCCACCTGGAAGTCCCGCATCCCGTCCACCCGCGGGACGTGGTAACTCGGTGGGTGGACCCTGTGGCTCTCGTTGAACTGATGCTGTGTGGATCAGGATGTGTGATGGGGTGGTGTGGGTGTGATGGGCCAGGGCGCCCCGTTTCTGGAATCCAGGGCCCCTTGGGCCTCCGGCACCGCCCTCACCATGGCTGTGTCCAGGCCCTTGCCTGTGGGCACCCCTGGGGAAGTGCTGGTTGGGCCCTCCCGCAGCCACAAGTCATGTGGAGACCGAATTCATGTCTGTTGTGCTGACCGCACCTCAGGGAGGCGGCCACCTGGAGACACCTGGCCCTGGCGGGACGTGGGGCTCTGGGCTGTGTGGAAGAAGGTGCCAGGGCAAGTCTGGAGGTGGCTGGGGGTGGCTAGGCATAGGTGAACTAGGCGGGGACTTGGTGGTCTCCAAGGGTGGACAGGCTGGGTCTGTGCTGGAGATGGGCGTTGGTCAGGGGCCCGCCGAGTGGTTAGGCTTAGCTGGGGTGCAGTGCAACCCGTGTCCTGATAGGTCTCCATCCAAGGAGCGGCCATGGCTGTTTCTGGGTCCTGGAACTTCAGGTGTGTGTTTTCCCTTCTCAGCTGTGGAAAGTGAAAAAGGCCTTGAAGATGACTGTCGTTTGGAGAGGCCTGCGGCCCACGTTTCAGGTAGGGACCCCACGCCCCCCCGTGTCCTCTCAGGGACCCGTCACCTTCGTTCTTTTGCAGCCCGCCCGTGATGCAGGCTGACCCCTGCACACGTCCCTTGGCTGTGTTCCCGCGACGTACAGTCCTGAGGGCAGGTGACCGTCTCGTGGTCGCCTGCAGGCCCGCAGGGAGACGCAGGGGTCTCGGTGTGGGCGGGGCGGCTCACCCCTCCGCAGCTCTGCCCTTAAGTCCCTGGGCTCTGACTCCCCTGGGGTCCCCCATCCCCGGTTGTGGGAGCAGCAACCCCCACCACCCCATGGCCAGGCAGGACGCTGGTCAGCCCAGCTCAAGTGGAGTGTCCCGCAGGGGTGGGGTCCCCCCGACCACACCGCGAGGGGCTCTCCGGTGTCGAGCTTCCTGGGGCGTCAGCGGGAGGTTACAGCCCGGTGGCTGCTCCGCTTGGTGTGGCGGGCCTCATGTGAAGACCCCTGGGACTGTGAGGCTCCAGGCATGCAGGTCAAGGGTGGGTCACACGGCAGTGGGGTCCACCTTCTCTTGGTCCCGGTCACCCCGGCGTGTCTGCCCAGGCTGATGGAGAGCAGGGTGTTTACTAAGAGCCCAGCAGCACCAGGGCAGGAAGCGGCCGCGCCGCATGACATCCAGGTCGACGGGCCTGCGTCCCAGGCTGTGTGCTCGCGGCTGTAGGTGACCCCATGCCTGGCTGGATTCCCCCTGCTCAGCCCCTGGTCCCCTTTCGGTCGCAGCGGGGCTGAGCCCAGGTGCCTGCCTGACCCCTGGGGTAATGTGCTTGTGTGGAACTCCTTTGCAGTTTGGCACTTACAGTGAATCTGAGAAGAAGACAGAGGAGTACGACACCCAGGTGAGTGGCGTGCTCCTGGCTGTGGCCACCCGCGGAGAAGGCCCGTCCTGGGTGTGGGGCCTGCCCCACCTTAGCCGAGACCCTGGGAAGCTGCCTGCTGGGTTTCTGACCAAGGAGGGGGCGCTGGGGGCTCCTGGGTCCCAGTCCCATCCTGTTGGGAGACGTCTTCCTCCCCGTGGGTAGCTGTGGGGCTGTAAGCCGGGTCCGTTCTGCGACGTGGGGTTCCCCCTCCCATGCGGTTTTCGGGTTGGTTCACACATTCCCTGTGCAGGGATTTTGTGTTCTGGTTTCACGGGCATCGGCTGCATCCCAGTCTTCACTGGGTTTCGGTAAAGCCCGGATCGGAATCGAGGGTAGTGGGCTGCCTACCGACTAAGGCTCCAGTGTGGAGCCCGGAGCCTTTCTTCAGAGTCCTTTGCTGGACATCTGGGCCCCCGCCTGCCCCCGGTCGGGCTGAGTCTGGCCGTGTCGGGGGCGAGTGTGGATCCGTCACACATTCGTGGTGGACGTCCTGTGGGTAGATGCTCGCCAGCCTGTGTCCTCCACGCAGCCCGGCTTCACTGCCCTCGACGTCCCGCTGCTGGGCCCGCGGGTCTGTGGGTCTAGGCAGCTCGGAGGCCGGGCCCTGACCGGGCGCTTCCTGCCCCCAGGCCATGAGATACCTGTCTTACCTGCTCTACCCGCTCTGCATCGGGGGCGCTGTCTATTCGCTGCTCAACATCAAGTACAAGAGGTGAGGGCGCCCTGCTGACAGCCGCAGGTCCTGGCTGCCTGCTGCTGGCCCCACGCAGCCGTCTGGTCCCCGCGAGCCGGGGAGCACTCGCGGGAGCAGACTTGGGGCTGCCACACAGCCCGTGTCCAGAGGGGCCGGGGCCTGCACACTGTCCTGGCCCCATCCTCCCATCACAGGCATCCCTGACAGCACCGGCGCTAGGGCCGGGTTCAGGGCCGCCCACGGGTTCCGTGGTTCCGTCCCGCTGGTGGTCGTCGGGGGACGTCTGTCGGTGCCCAGTCTCTGCCATCCCCTCAGAGGGGGCTCCAGGGAGGCCGCCATCCATGCAGGTGGCCTGGGCTAGCCCGCCAAGAGCAGCCCCTGCCTCGGCACCAGAGAGGGCAGGTCCGTGGGGGACTCGGTCACGACATGGGCTGAGCGGTGTCCCTGTCATCTGCCCTTGCCTTCCAGCTGGTATTCTTGGCTGATCAACAGCTTCGTCAATGGTGAGTCTCCCGTCTCAGCGCCAGTGTTTGCAGTGGGTCACGCTGGTCGGCTGCCGTGTGGCCTAGTGTGGTGAGAGGTTCCCTGCCCACCCCGCCCCGTGTCCCCCTTACTGGGCCTGTGGGGTCGGCTGTGGGCATCGTGTTCTCATGGAGGAGTCGGTGTGGGCAGCAGATGCCACTTCTGTGGGGCACCGCAGCCCCTGGCCCTGTGAACCGGGTCAGCACGGCCCACTCAGCTTGTCCAGACCATGAGCTGCTGCTCCGCAGGCCGCCAGGCCCGGCTTGGCGTGTTCACCGGGTGTGGGAGGGCCCCGTCTCGGCCTGAGCAGGAGGCAGTGGGTAGCTGCAGGCAGAGCGTCTGGTCCTGATGCCCAGCGGGGGGGGGGCANTAGAGTGTGCTGGGTCCGGGGGTGGGGGAAGGTCAAAGCTGCCTTCTGTTTTGGATGTGCGCGGGGACCCATGCCCCCAGGTTCCCGGGTGGTGCTCCTCCATGCTGTTTGCAGAGGGCGGGTGGGACGCCTGGCCATGGCGTCTGTGCCAGGGTCACCGTGGGCCCGGGCCCCCCTGCTGCTCCCCATTTTGGTGGCTCTCAGATCACTGGGCGGCAAGCGCCCATGGGTGACCGTGTGCCCGGGCGACTCTGGTCTCACGGCCCCACCCGCCCGCAGGCCTTCAACACCTTCATCGATGACGTGTTTGCCTTCATCATCACCATGCCCACCTCCCACCGGCTGGCCTGCTTCAGGGATGATGTGGTGTTTCTCGTGTACCTATACCAGCGGTGGTGAGTGTGGCCCCAGTCCTGCTTCTGTGGGGGAGACACTGGCAGGTGGGCGTCGGGGCCCAGGGCCCCGTGCAGGAGCGCTGCTGTCTGTCTGACCACCCCGCAAGCACGTCGCTCCCCTGCTCGGACGGGCGTGAGGTGGGCCACAGCCCCCGCGAGCATGTCAGGAGCCCGGGCTCGGTCTCCACCTCAGCGTGGGTACAGCTGTCGGCGGTGGCCTCAGGAGCAGAGGTCTGGCCTGACTGTTCTGAGAATGCCGGGGGGGTGCAAGGCAAGCCCGCGCCGGACTCCCACTGGGACCGAGCATCTGAGTCCTGGCTGTCATGCACCCAGGACACGTGTGTTCGCTCTTGCACGCCAGCCGGCCTGACGCCCACACGGTCTCGTTGCAGGCTTTATCCCGTGGATAAGAGTAGGGTGAACGAGTTTGGGGAGTCCTACGAGGAGACCCCCCAGCGGAAACCCCACGCAGACTGAGCCAAACCCGGCGTGTGCAGCCGCAGTGCAGGCAGGGCGCTGCTATGGAGGGTCGGCGGCGCGGGTGGGCCTCCTGCCATCACCGCCTCTACGTTGCCAAACCCCTGAGCGTCCCTCGCGGCCTCGGGTACCTCCTTGTCGTGTCCGCGGCGCTGCCGGTGCCACCCGTGCAGACGTCCGTCCTGGTCGCCGGGCCTGGGAGCATCTGGTCCTGGTGGGTGCTGGGCCGCTCCTGCGGGGTCCCCATCCCAGATTCCGTCCCAGGGTCTGTAGGCGCTCCTTGGGGATGTCACATGCCTCCTTTGAATCCATTCCGTATAGACTCTGGGATCAAATGGCTTTTTTCCTTTTCACTTAAATTTGACTATTTTAAAGCTTAATGTATGTATGTTTCTATTTTAAAATAAATTTCTCTGGCTGTACACTCTCCTTGGCCTGACATGACGTGGACGGTTTCAGATAGCGGCATTTATCCCGTTTTCAGAAACGCGCACACACAGTCTGTGTATGTGCTTATCAACAGGAGAAGGTTTCAGGAATCTCGGACCACAGCTATTCTTACATGTCTGCATCTGGTTTTGAAGCTGAGTCGTCGCAGTCCTGGGGTTCAGCAGACGAGTTTTGTTAGAGAAACGCCTTAGGGCTAACAGAGGGAGAAGCCGGGCAGGAAGGTATCTTCACGGACAGGGCAGATAAGGGTGAGAGCTGGTGGGGGACAGGGCAGATGAGGGTGAGCTGGTGGGGGACACGGTCAGTCGTGTTCCCTGAGATTCATTCTTGGAGCCTGCTGGCATGGTGTCTGGGCACATAAGCACGTCAGTATCTCAGCCACTGAGCTGGCTCTGGACCCAAACCTCATCAGTGGGATCTCCTTGGCGATGTCTACACTGGCAGGCTGTGGCCTCCAGTGATGTCTCCAGCAGTGCATCCAGGGCCCCTCCATGGCCAGGACGTGGGGCCAGGTGTGGGCTGGCGCCGAGGCAGCTCTCAGGGCCAGATCCATGTGTCCTTCCCGAAAGTCCTCGAGGCCAGACAGAACCACACCCAGGAGTCAGCTGCCAGCACGTGCTGCCCTGTTATAGGAGAGAATCCGCTGACTGAGAAGACCTCATCCCTGAAAGTATATCAGAATATATTGTAAAATGAAGGCTTTACAGACACTCAGAAGTAGGAGGAACTCCTCGCAGCAAACCTGCTCTCTGAGAAACCTTACAGGGAGTCCTTCCAACAGGAATGAGGGCAACAGGTGCAGATCTGATCTGTGCAAAGGAGGGGGAGCCCCAGAGAGCAACCACGTGGGTGAGTCGACTGACTTGCTCATTTAAGTTACCTAAAAAAAATCACCAACCACTTACAGCTAAAATAACAATGGTGTTTTGTGAGGTTCCACAAAGCCAGGCAGGGGGTACTCGCAATGCGGCTCCGGGTGAACTGCGAGGGGTTACAGACAAATGACCTCTGAAGTAAATCAGGCAGTGGGGGAAACACTCGGTGCAGGACTGTACAGGACAATGTGGAAAGAGGAGTGAGAACAGGGGACAAGTCAAAACCTGCAGCTGAAACCCAGCCTGCCAATAATCACATTAAATGTAAATGATTCAAACACCCCACTAAAAGGCAGAGATTAACAGACCAAATAAAAAGCGGGCCCCAAGAACACAGGTTGAAATCAAACACTGAGACCATATCTACGTTAACATCAGGAAAGCATATTTTAGAGAAGTATTGATAACGTTACCAAGAAATAAAGTATTTTTATAAAAATAAAGGTATTCCAAAAAAGGACATAATAATCTCTTACTGAGTCCATAAACATTTATGTTGAAATGTTGAACATATTGAAAATATATTACACAAAGCTGTTTAGGAATGCAAGGAGAACCTAGTCCACAGGGCAATCTCAATGCTGTGTCAGAGACTGACAGACGTGTAAGGAGATCTCTCTGAGAACAGGGGGGACCTGAACACGTTCACTCTACCTGACCTGTTGCAGACACTCCTCCCAAATTCAGAAGTGTACACACTTTTCAAGAGCATGCAGAGCATTTACCAAGAATATTCTGCACAATAAAACCAGCCTAAACAAACATAAAATGCTTTAAGAACATGCAAATTATGTTCTTCAGCCCCAGTAGAATAGAGTTAAAAATCAATAACAAATCTGGGAAAATCTCAAAATATTTAGAAATTAAATATCACCACTTTGAAGTAAACCATGGATCAAAGAAGAAGCCAAAAGGGCAATTAGAAATTATCTTGAACTGAATGAAAATGAAAACACAGAATACTCGTGTTCGTGGCATTTAATGGGGAGACGGAGGCACAGCTGCAGCACTGAAGACCTGCAGCAGGAAGAGACTTCCGTGTCCTCAGCGCTCGCCTTCGGAAACCAAGAGAGCGGCTGAGACCCCAGGGAAGGAGCACTGCACGTGTGAGCCGGAATCCGAGATGCGGAGAAAAGCGCGCAGAATACTAATGGGAACGGCTGTTCTTCGAGATGATCAATAACAGTAGCAAACCTCCAGCCAGACCAAGGAGGAGGACAAGAGAAAACGCAATCACAGCATCAGTGAAGAGGGAGGAGACAGAGCCAGATCGCACACGTGTCTGAAGAACAGTAAGAAATAGGGCGGTTTGTACCGACACAGCCAACCACAAGGAGAGACGAACGAACCCCGGAAAAAAAAAACAACCAAGCCCCCGAAGAAACCCAAGAACAAAAGGCCCCCAAGGGCCTCACTTGGCATTTCATGAGTGGGAGGTACCAGCATGTGGGTACCATTCCCAGGAGAGTGAGCAGGATGCCCGCCTAGGCCCCGCATGCCCAGGCAGACGGACCTCATGCTCTGTCCCGACCCCAGAGCGGCCCCGCAGGCTCCCATCTGTTTCTGCGGAGCCTCACAGATCAAGTCTCCTTCTCTCACCTGCATGCTTCCACCCCCTGGCCCATGTTTCTGAGGTCAGACCTCCCCACTTGGAGCGCGTCCTTTAGAAATCGGCTGCTCCAGGTTTCTGCCCGCATGAGTGCCCTCACTTACCCTCGTCCTTAAAGACACAGCCTGTGGCCTTCTGGGCTGTCGTGGCTCCTCCCGTCTGAGGCCTGGGTGCTCTCCGCCGAGCGTGGCGTCCCATCCGTCCCCCTCTCCAGGCAAGGCGCTGATCCCCGTGGCAGTGGGGGCCCTGGGGCCATCTCAGAAGTGCCTCCTCCACACGGTGCTCCTCCGCAGTGATCTGTTCTCATCTCCCCTCTTGTTCTCAGCCTCCAGGACCCTCTGTGCTGACCTCGGGGGCATTCCAGAGAGAGTCAGCTCATGCTCCACGGCACTCACGTTCTCTACTTGGGACTTAGTTCATGTATTGAATTTCCCATCACCCAGTAATGTGGTTCCAGATGGCCTGTTCGATTTTAATGGTTTCTGTTGAGCCTCCTGGTCTGTCTGAAGGCCTTCTCCTTGGCCTGCCTCTGTGTGTTTGCACAGAGGACAGGCTGGCGCTGGGGTCAGCGTCCTTCAGCGGCTGCAGCGGCTTTGCTTGTTGGGGTCCAGCTGCTCTCGCTCATGGTGCTGGGTCCTTCCTTCTGTGTGCTGGAGGGTTTTGGTTCTGCGCTCATATTCAGTATGGATCTCGGGGTGGCTGCCCTGGTGGTCCAGTGTTAAGACTCTGTCTGCCAGTGCAGGGGACATGGGTTCAATCCCTGGTCCAGGAAGATCCCACCTGCCATGGGGCAACTAAGCTCTTGTGCCTAGACCCCACGCTCTGCAACAAGAGAAGCCCCCACAGTGAGAAGCCCATGCACCACAGCTACACAGAAACGAAACACGCACACAGAAACGCAGACCCACTGCAGCCAAAAAGGAAATGAATAAACAAAAACTTCACAAAGAAAGCACATCTGAGGCCAGCATGTTGGTGACTCCTTCCAGGGAGGATCAGAGCCGGGCCTGTGGGCAGAAATGCCTGGAGACCCCCCAGGGGTGACATAGATGATGTCTATGTGTATAGATGAACCCCATGAACAGTATGAGAAGGCAAAAAGATAGGACACTGAAAGAGGAACTGCCCAGGTCTGTAGGTGCCCAACATGCTCCTGGAGAAGAGGGGAGAAATAACTCCAGAAAGAATGAAGAGACGGAGCCAAAGCGAAGACATTACCCAGTTGTGGACGTGGCTGGTGACGGAAGACAAGTCCGATGCTGTAAGAACAATATTGCACAGGAACCTGGAATGTGAGAGCCAAGAATCAAGGCACATTGGAAGTGGTCAAACGGGAGATGGCAAGAGTGAACATTGACACTCCAGAAATCAGTGAACTAAAATGGGCTGGAGTGGGCAAATTTAGCTCAGATGACCGCTATATCTACTACTGTGGGCATCCCTTAGAAAAAATGGAGTACCTCTCATAGCCAACCAAAGAGTCTGAAATGCAGTACTTGGTTGCAGTCTCAAAAGCAACAGAATGATGTCTATTCGTTTCCAAGGCAAACCCTTCAATATTACAGTAATCCAAGTCTATACTCCAACCAGTAATGCTGAAGAAGCTGAAGTTGAACAGTTAATGAAGACCTGTAAGACCTCTAGAACTAACACCCAAAAAAGATGTCCTTTTCATTATAGGGGACTGGAATGCAAAAGTAGGAAGTCAAGAAATACCTGGAGTAACAGGCAAATTTGACCTTGGAGTATGGGATGAAGCAGGCAGAGGCTAAAAGAATTTGAAAAAGAACACACTGGCCATAGGAAACAGCCTCTGCCAACAGCACAAGAGAAGACTCCACACACGGACATCACCAGATGGTCAACACTGAATTCAGATTGATTACATTCTTTGCAGCCAAAGATGGAGAAGTTCTATACAGACAGCAAAAACAAGACCGGGAGCTGACTGTGGTTCAGGTAATGAACTCTTTATTGCAAAATTCAGACTTGAATTGAAGAAAGTAGGGAAAACCACTAGACCAGTCAGTCAGTCAGTTCAGTCGTTCAGTCATGTCTGACTCTTTGTGACCCCATGAATCACAGCAGGCCAGGCCTCCCTGTCCATCACCAACTCCCAGAGTTTACTCAAACTCATGTTCATCGAGT